TGTCCTCAGCGCCAGGAACTTTGTCCTCAGCCTCTGGAACTTTGTCAGGAACCTTGTCCTCAGCCTCAGGAACTTTGTCCTCCATTAATTTGATTATCGCGCATGATGTTTATCATAATAATCACCATAGTAGTCACAGTTCACGAAATAGGAATCTTGTCCTCAGCGCCAGGAACCTTGTCCTCAGCGTCACGAACCTTGTCCTCAGCGCCAGGAACTTTGTCGTCAGCCTCTGGGACTTTGTCTTCAGCGTCATGAACCTTGTCCTCAGCGTCAGGAACCTTTTCCACAGCGCCAGGAACCTTGTTCTCAGCGTCAGGAACCTTGTCCTCAGCGTCAGGAACCTTGTCCCCAGCGTCTGGAGCCTTGTCCTCAGCGTCTGGAACCTTGTCCTCAGCGTCAGGAACCTTGTCCTCAGCGTCAGGAACCATGTCCACAGAGCCAGGAACCTTGTCCTCAGCGTCTGGAACCTTGTCCTCAGCGTCAGAAACCTTGTCCTCAGCGTCAGAAACCTTGTCCTCAGCGTCAGGAACCTTGTCCTCAGCGTCAGGAACCTTGTCCTCAGCGTCAGGAACCTTGTTCTCAGCGTCCGGAACTTTGTCCTCAGCCTCAGGATCCTTATACTCAGCGTCAGGATCCTTGCCCTCAGCGTCAGGAACATTGTGCTCAGCGTCAGGAACCTTGTCCTCAGCCTTAGGATCCTTTTCCTCAGCGTCAGGATCCTTGCCCTCAGCGTCAGAAACCTTGTCCTCGGCGTCAGGATCCTTGCCCTAAGCGCGAGGAAACTTGTCCTCAGCGTCAGCAACCTTGTCCTCAGCGTCAGGAACCTTGTCCTCAGCCTCAGGAACTTTGTCCTCCATTAATTTGATTATCGCGCATGATGTTTATCATAATAATCACCATAATAATCACAGTTCACGAAAGTCAGGATCCTTGCCCTCAGCGCGAGGAACCTTGTCGCTCAGCGCCAGGAACCTTGTCCTCAGCGTCAAGAACTTTGTCCTCAGCCTCAGGATCCTTATACTCAGCGTCAGGATCCTTGCCCTCAGCGTCAGGAACATTGTGCTCAGCGTCAGGAACCTTGTCCTCACCAGGAACTTTGTTCTCAGCCTCTGGGACTTTGTCGTCAGGAACATTGTGCTCAGCGTCAGGAACCTTGTCCTCAGCCTTAGGATCCTTTTCCTCAGCGTCAGGATCCTTGCCCTCAGCGTCAGAAACCTTGTCCTCGGCGTCACGAACCTTGTCCTCAGCGTCTGCAACCTTGTCCTCAGCGTCAGGAACCTTGTCCTCAGCGTGAGGAACCTTGTCCTCAGCGTCTGGAACCTTGTCCTTAGCGTCAAGAACCTTATCCTCAGCGTCAGGAACCTTGTCCTCAGCCTCAGGATCCTTTTCCTCAGCGTCAGGATCCTTGCCCTCATCGTCTGGAACCTTGTCCTCTGCGTGAGGAACCTTGTCCTCAGCCTCAGGATCCTTGTCATCAGCCTCAGGAACTTTGTCCTCCTTTAATTTGATTATCGCGTATCATGTTTATCATAATAATCACCATAATAATCACAGTTCACGAAACAGGCATCCTTAATTCTCATTTCACGGAGCATTTTTATCAACAATCACGCCTCACGGCTGTAGAACAAATCACATTTCACGACACTAAAATCAAGCATTTCACATTTCACACGAACAAATATTGACCATTCACGGCTCACGAAAATACCTTTTCCCACCTTCGGCGGTGTGTACATGTGGCTATCAAGGGTGGGTTGTAGCGAAGTAGTTGTAGTTCGCTACTGTAGCGAACTACAATTTTCAAGTAGCCAGTAGTTTTTGACTACTTTTTTAAAACAGTAGTTGTAGTTATAGCGAACTACATTTTGCCTAAAAGTAGCCAAGTAGTTGACTACTTTTCAAACAGGTGAAACAGCGAATCGCTATTCGCTACTTTTAAAATTGTTAGCAACTTGATAGAATAGCATGGTATTGAGACACTGTTTGTTTAAAATCAATACTCAATTGCACTCCTGAACACTGTAGTGCTTACAAAAATGTTGCTTTGTGTTTTTACTGTTGGGACTCGTAAGTCGATTTGTTATAGATTACATTACTGCCTGAGTTAGTAGATGCCCCAAATATAGTATAACTAAAAAATATAGTGTAGCGAAATAGCGAAATAGTTCGCTACAATTTTTAAGTAGTAGCTGTAGTCAGTAGCGAACTACCTTTGTTCAAAAGTAGCAGTAGTTGTAGCTGACTACAAAAATGTTGTAGTCAACCCACCCTTGCTGTGAGTGTGCATCCACACCGGGCAAGCTGCAAAGTTTGCCTGACCACGGTGGGAATACATTTGATATCGTAGGAACTAGACTCAGTTCCGAAATATCACCAACTCGAACCGACTTGACCTCGTAAGCTCAGTTGCTAGAGCATTGGACTAATATCGAACTAGAATCAGTAGCGGGTTCGATTCCCACCGTGGTCAGGCAAACTTTTCAGCTTGCCCGGTGTGGATGCACATTCACAGTAACATCACAAACATAGTAACATACTGTATTATAGTTTTGCAAAAGCGTGTTCTCCGTTTCATTCATTTTTCAAAAAAACGAGAACACGCAATACCTCTATTTGTTGCTACAAATATTCTACCAGTAAATCTTTTATACTATGAAAATGTACTTTCATTTATGCTTTTTGAAGGGGGGAGGGGGGTTAGAAAGGGGACGTATTAGAGAGGGTTTTTTTAGAGAGAGTGTTTATTATAGAGGGGCTTTATTAGAGAGGAAACGTATTGGAGAGAGTGGCTATCAGAAACGGGGCCTACAAGAGAGGAGGATATTAGAGAGGGGGGCTATTAGAGAGGGAACTTACTAGAAAGTGGGGCTTATTAGAGAGGGAGACATATCAGAGAGGAGGCTCGTAAGAGAGGAAGCTTATTAGAGAGGAAGGCTTATTAGAGAGGGAGTTTATTAGAGAGTGGGGCTTATTAGAGAGTGGGGCTTATTAGAGAGGAAAACATATTAGAGAGGAAAACATATTAGAGAGGAGGCTCGTTAGAGAAGGAGCTTATTAGAGAGGAAGGCTTATTAGAGATGGGGCTTATTAGCAAGGGGGATTATTAGAGGGCCTATTAGAGAGGGGAGCTTATTAGAGAGGGGGGAAGGCTTATTAGAGAGGGGGGAAGGCTTATTAGAGAGGAAAGTTATTAGAGAGGGGATCTTATTAGACAGGGAGACATATTAGAGAGGGGGCCTATTAGAGAACGGGGTATTAGGAGGAATGGGGCTTAGTAAAGGGAGGGCCTGAGGGGGGTCTATTTTAAAAGGGGGTTTAATAGAGGACTCATGACATAGAATGTCAATATATGTTCTTATTCTATTCTATTCTAGGAAATGGCGACTTCACATCAGAAATTTCTCCTGATGATGTGTCAGAACATTTGGTTACAAATGGCCACATTAGTCGAGTATAAACTATGGCTTGCCAGAAACTATAGATAGCTTATCTGATAAAACATGCTTATGCTATGTAGAACATTGACCATTATAAGTAACAACTTTATTTCAATAGCATAAACATTTCTGCAATACAATTCATACTGTTATCAATATGAAATCTTTCAATTACTTTAGTTTGTTTGCATTGAAAATGAAATTACTTATCTTGTGTGTGCATTTCAATACAATCTTTGAATGTATGGTGAACAATTCAAAACATTAATTTATGGTATATAAAACCATGCAATGGTGAGATCTTCTTAGACTACTGTAGGATTCCATTGTTTCCAAGGTTCTTGAGCTTTTAGCAAACTGTTTTATATTAGGATGCCACAAATGATTGCCCACTATTTGATATTTGACCACTTAGGGAGTGTTCAATATTTATGGTTGGGGGGGGGGTGAAATCACAGGGGCAAAAAAAGTTTGGTGTTTGTTTTTGGAGAGTCACCAGAGTTTGCGGAGTAATTGAGGGGGGAGGGGTCATGAAAGTGTTAGTTTTGACAATGTTTTGACCTCATTAAAATATGTTATTATAGAACATGAAAATTTTGAATTATTACATAGCTTAAGTACAAGAGCTTTTGCACTATTACTAACGTCATAAAATAACGATTTTGTATTTTATACAAAATGTGGGGGGGGGGGTCACAAAAGTTTTTGGTCTTTTCTTGGGGTCCCCCCCAGAGAGGGTCATGTAAATATTGAGAGGGAGGATGTGTGAAACACCCCCGCCCCCCAAACCATAAATAATGAACTCAACACTCCCTTATAAATATTTGAGCCGCATTAGAAAAAAAGAATTGTTTCTGTGGTCTGTGCATTCAGTTACTGTCTTTGCTTCATTGTTCTTCATTATTAACATGCAGATAAATGATTTATAAAGCTTTGCCATCCAATGACATAGCCAGGGGGGGGGGGGGGGAGGCTTGGAAAAATTCTGTCCTGGACAAGCATGTGCATTATATTTTCATTTCTTGTAATGGAAATGTTCTGGATTTGTTTGTGATTAAGTAGAGTTGTTATGTGTTAAATGCTTATTTAAAATTACCAAAACACATTAAAATAGCCTCCAAAATGATGAAAATGGCATTTTACTGACTCTAGAATTTAAAAAAATTTCCTAAAAGTTCATTGTTCTATATTATGCATGGCTATCATGGGAATCCAAATATATTTTCACATAATGAACAAACTATTCAAACTAGTGCAGGGTAAAATTACTTATTCTCCTCCCGGGATTTTTTCTGTGCTCCTTGACTAGAAGTCCTGGCTACGTCACTGTTGCCATCAATTTACAAGATTAAACATAAACTAGAATATTTAATGTACTGTATTATTAGCAAGCAGTAAACAGACAATGGAGTAATTTATAAAGAATTAAAATGTGTCAAATATAAAGTGTGAAATTAACTTTTCAAGTCACCAGTTGTCTTGCATTTTATATGACCATCAAGGTTGGAAATAGCCTGTGTACAGAATGTATTATGCTGTAATACAGTCTGTGAAATTTCGTAGCATTGCTTGCCAACCCCAGCAGTGCTACCCAGACCTGGGTAGTTGATTCTGATTGGTCATGACTGAATTTAGTGGGTTCTGATTGGCTGGACTTAATATCAACGACTGTTGGAAAGCTCACTCACCTTGTGGTTGTTTGAGCACTCTGGACATGACACTATGCACGTGTCTAGATGCATTGATGGCCTGTGTTGTACCACATGTGCTTGTGAGAGCAAGTTGCATGTATATAAATACGAAGGTCATCGCGTGTCTAGTGTGTACCAAGCTGCACTGACGAGGCGTAGGATGCCGAAACATGCATGTCTGCAGATTGTATATACATATATATATATATATTTGCTAGGCCGCCTCTCGATCAGTGAACAACAAAACAATTATTGTCGATTTCAGGTAACTTTTCAACACGCTGTTCCCAAGTTCGTTGCGAACTTGCCAATTACATTGTCAAGTTCGCAAGTTGGACGGGAACTTCGCAATGAAGTTCGCAAGTTCATTTCAAAGTTCGAACTTTGATTGTAAACAAATGTTCATAGTTGGAGTTGAAATTACTGTATAAGGCCCTATGCACATATTACTGCAGTAAAATATTACTGCAATAAAATATTGCTCCAGTGGTCTCCCAAAACGAAAACTGCCTTTTTAAATAACTTTATCAATGAAATTTTTACATTTGTTTACAATCGAAGTTCGAACTTTGAAATGAACTTGCGAACTTCGTTGCGAAGTTCCCGCCCAACTTCCGAATTTGGAACGTAATTGGCAAGTTGACAACAAACTTGGGAACCGCGCTTTGAAAAGTAATCTGAAATCGACAATAATGTGTTCGTTTGTTAATTTCATAATTTGTAACATTGCAAACAACAGCTCATTTGTCAACAACAAAAACTACGAATGCAAGTTCATCTCAAGCTGAAAGCATATAAATTAATAGTTCATCTTGACCGATAATCTTTGCAAAAACACGTGTCTCTAACAGATGTTTTTGGAAAGAGAACAGCGATAGACTTCGTCCGCCCAAAGTAAATTCGGTCCAAGAAAAATGGTCTGTCATTGTCGAGATCAATAACGATCGGTCAATAAAACCCTCATAAATTCCATCTACAGAAGTTATTTTAATAACAAACACTTACTCAGTACTATGAACAACAAAACAACTAAAACTCACCTTGTTTAATGGTGTTTTCTTCTTAAACTTTGTACTTTCTTTGCAAACCATTTTAAAAATTTTCACAAACACGCGGGTTTTAATAAATCACAAGTTGACGTTTCAGTATTTACTTCATGTTAGCTTTAATGAAACTCGCTTCTCGCTGATCTCAAATAAACTGTATAGAGCAATCACCAAGTCTGCCAACAAGCCGTTGTCAACAAGTTGTGTTCACATTGCCTCAACAAGTTTGTAACAAGCTGTTAACAACTTCAAACAACCTTGTTGATATTATCAGACTTGTTGCAACGTTGTTCCAACAAGTCCGATACAGTCATGATATAACAATATTGTTAGTTTTGTTACTGAACCTTGTGTCGTCAACCTTGTAACATTCTTGTTATATCATGACTGTATCGGACTTGCTAGACCAACCTTGTAACAAGTCTGATCATGCCATCGAGCTTGTAATTACAAGGTGTTAACAGCTTGTTCCAAACTTGTTACAACAACTAGGAACAACTTTTCACGTGTACACACGTAAAAACGCACAAGTTGTTGCAAGTCTGCAAACAAGTTGTTATAAATCTGTTCACAAGCTGTCAACAAGTTGTCTTCGCACTGCTTGTTCCCAGTTGTTGAAACAAGTTTGGAACAAGCTGTTAACAACTTGTAACAAGTTTGATGGTATTATCAGACTAATTGTTACAAGGTTGTTCTAACAAGTCTGATACAGTAATGATACAACAAGAATGTTACAAGGTTGACGACACAAGCTTGCAACAATATTGTTATATCATGACTGTATCGCACTTTTGGAACAACCTTGCAACAAATCTGATTGTATCAACAAGGTTAAGTCTGATCATGCCATCGAGCTTGTAATTACAAGGTGTTAACAGCTTGTTCCAAACTTGTTACAACAACTAGGAACAACTTTTCACGTGTACACACGTAAAAACGCACAAGTTGTTGCAAGTCTGCAAACAAGTTGTTATAAATCTGTTTGAGACTAGCAGTGCGAAGACAACTAGTTGACGGCTTGTTGACAAACTTGTTACAAGATGTGAGATTTTTGCGTGCGTAGCGTGATCCAAACAATCACACGTAAAAACGCACAAGTTGTAACAAACCTGCAGTAGACTTGTTGCAATGCTGTTACAACAACTTGTCAACAGGATGTGTTCGCACTGCTTGTTCCCAGCTTGTTGACAAGTTGTCAACGGCTTGTTGACAACTTGCTACAAGGTTGTTGAGCTCAACAGATTGTTATCGTCCTGCAATTCAACAATTTGTCAACAGATTGCGAGTGACAACCTTGTAGCAACTTGATAAAATAACAGCGTTTGTTACCACTGGTTGACAAGCTTGCTACACATCTTGTTGGCAAGTTGTATTTTTACCTGTGCATCATTGGTTCTGGGAACAAGCCAGACAGTTCATATGTTTCTAGTGGTCAGAAATAAAGCCAACGAAGAACCATTTATAAATCTAAGCAAATAACATATTTTATTATCTAAAACGAACATAAATATACTACTGTTTTACAGTTTCTCAAACTGGTTCTCGTAAAGCATGCATCTGTTGCCTAATACATATATTACATCACTATAGTATACAGTAAGTGCTATTTTCCGCTAGCTAAGACATTAAAGACGCGGGAAATGTTTATCTCAAACGCAAATGGTATTATAAATGTATAATTAAACTACTGACGGTTTAATTATAATACCATTTGCTGAACGATTCTGTTCTGCTACTCAATTAATAATTCATGAGGAAAACACATAAACTTTAACCTTGATTTTCTCGACTTACACAACGTATTGCTTTATTTTGCTCACATGATAATACTGATACCTGGTAAAGTATATTGATCCAGTACGTCCTAGGACTGGATCAAAATTAATTCGGTCCTTGGACTGGATTATAATTACGTACTATAGTTCACCTCACTCTAAGTAGTGATTAATCAAATTGCGCGGACTTGAAATCTAGTCCAGTCCCCATGGTTGGATTTAAAATATTACATCACATACTTCTGGGGGGCGATGAGCACAGACATCATCAGATATCCAGGGAGGCGGTGGGGTGGCAGATTCTCCAAAAAAAATCATGCAAAGAGTCGAATTTGAAAAACAAATTCACGTAAGTTTTCAGGGAAAGAAAAAATTCCTCCATGAAATACATAGAAATACATAGAAAAACATTGTTGTTCAGCTTCTAGACCGTAAAAAAAGTTCTAAAAAAGTTCTAAAAGAGTTCTAACTTCTAAAAACGTTTAATTTGACCAAGCTCCGAATTTTAACGAATCTTGCAAGGTTTAACGAAACTTGCAAAAGTTTCCCTCCGGCCTACCAGAATATCTAATGGTCCACCCTTCACGTGACGTGAAGCTTGTCGCCGATACTGCAATGCTCCTGACTCTTCCACAGTCCCTAACACTGCTTATAACGCAAAGGACCATGGAATTGCCCCCGTCGCATTCCCATCATTCAGCGCGCGTTGGGTAATTCAACGCGCGTTAAGTAAGCGACTGGGGACGAGTCAGGCAATGCTCCCAGTAATGTGTGAAAAACTTTTCCTAGTTTCATTTTCTTCATCTATTTTAAGACAGGAATGTACTGACGGTTTAATTATAATACCATTTGCTGAACGATTCTGTTCTGCTGCTTCAAAAACTAAATAATTCATGAGGAAAACACAAAGAAAAATCATAACGTGCATATCATAAAAAATCATAGCGTGTCGTATCTTCATATGTGATAGAGATTTCCCTTGATTTACATAAACTTTAACCTTGATTTTCTCGACTTACAAAACGTATTTTTTTGAAAATTACTTCGCCTCATTTAAATTGAAATTTAAATTAAATTGAAGCAATTTAAAACATTCGTAGTGCGTGTTTTATCAGACCTATAAAGATACTCGGCTTCGCCTCGTACCTTTAGGAACCAGTCATAAAGTAACTGCTAGGGCGGGCTGGAGTGATTTGGGATGGGCCATGGAAAATCTTTGGGCAGTTTCGATGGGCCGCCATTTTTTTGGTATGTTGGTTGGTGACCCACGGTCGAGTCACCAAACAAAAACCCATGTTAATTATATATTAATACATAAAGACATTAATAATAAAAGTAAACAAAACTATCCAAATGCTCAAATGCAAATGCAAATGATGCTATTGAAGCCAGTACTTTGTTTTATACAACAACAAAAAGTGGTCGAATCACAGTAAATACAACCAACTGGAGAGCAGCTCAGTATCGTAATTGGTGAATGTACACGTGATGAATGTACACGTTAGTCAAGCTTGGTGGAATTATGTATGTCAATACAGTGCCGGTGTATATTACAATGTTCATACCTGCAAGTTTTTTTTATTATAAAATTGTATTTTCCCAATTTAGATTGAGGGGGTCATGAAATAAATTTGGTAAGATTAGATGGGCTTTGAAATTTTTATCTACATCCTAAGATGGGTCACCAAACTTATTGGCGATTTACCTCCAGCCCACCCTAGCAGTTACTTTATGACCAGATAGACCAGTCCCTTATATCTCATAAAACACTGCTGCTCATGTTTTAAATAGTACATTAAACATATCAAATGAAACATGTCAAAAGGTCTTGACAAACATCTCTGATTGACGGTTTAATTATAATACCATTTGCTGAACGATTCTGTTCTGCTACATCACGAGGTGCCAGGTGCAATGCACTGTCAAACAAGATTCATTTGACATTCATTTGAGTCCTTCGCCAAGGGTAACGGTCTATATCTCATTTATTGTAGGGAAACTCACATTTTACTCAATTGACGATTCCCCTTATTACGTTTTCGTAGCGCTTTGCATTGTGGTTATAGTGGTATCACTGATATTCAAGATTGCTTCTTTTTTGTCCTGACCCGTACAAGAACTTGGCTAGGGTCAGGTGCGCGATAGCCAACAGCAAAATATTCGCGAAAACATTCAATATTTTCATTCGAGGCCGCTATCTTTTCCAGTGATACCACTATAACCACAATGCAAAGCGCTACGAAAACGTAATAAGGGGGATCTCGAATTGAACACCAGCTACTGATGATAACACGTGTATTTGACGTGACATTGCTTGCTGTTGGAGAGTACATTGCCAAACTTTGAACGGTAACTGCTATATCTCATTTATTGTGTGGAAACTCACACTTTACTCAACTGAACACCAGATACTGAAGATGGACTTTCCGAAAGGAACGTCACACATTTATTTGAAGTCACACTGCTTGCCATTGGAGAGTCCCTCGTCCCCAATCTCACCGGCAACTGATCCACGGCACCTTTATTCTCAAGAAGGGTAGCCCTTCGTTTTGAACCATCAACCGCGCTTTGAAGTGTAGAAGACAGCGTACTCGACGCGCGTCCCCGAGAGTTGGGCGGGCTATCCCGAGATCTCTTGTGCAGAAGACAGAAGATCACTGATATAATTTGTTTTGGTAGCATCTTCTTGAACGCGGTCCTAAAATCTGGGATACGCGCTGCATAGACTATGGGGTTCACACAAGTTGTAGCGAAATGCAAAGCTTTGAAGTAGATGACCATTGGCATTGAAATACAATCACAGTCCGTCCCAGCCGAAATGATACCGATGACGTAAAAGGGACACCAGCAGATGATGAAGAGAGCTATTAGTATAAACACGGTAAACGAAACTTTAAGTTCGCGCTCAAAATTTCTCCGTGACGTCACATAGGAGCGCTGTATGGTTGTTTTTAGTATAAACAGATAGCAAGACACGATGACGACCAGAGGTAATCCAAAAAGAGACGCACTGTTGTAGATGATGTACTTCATCTTGTATTTGTATAGTTCTAGCGACAAGCCACCAGATAGCACAGAGACGATCCACAGTACAGCTATGGCGATGAAGTATGTCGTTGAATTCGAAATGTGATGAACAACTGGCCATACTATTGCAAAATATCTAAAGAAAGTTATAGAGTGTCGGGTATTAGCTTGCAACACGTGATTACCCTGGAAATAGATTGTACTACTACCATACAGGGACGGATCAAGCCTCGTCTGCTAAGAGGGGTGCAGGTTTTCCATGGGGTGGTGCATGAGGGGAGCTTTGCTGCCTACTCCCCTCGGCCGTCGCAACGCTACTAACCCAACATTGCCATTATTTAAGATGGCCGAATCTGCATGTTCGCCGTTCTGTTACGTTTTATATTCTGTTGTTGATAAAGTTTATATCGGCTTTTTATCACGTATGCGTGACTGGACAATTAGCTACTGCAGCACAGTACAGTGAATTTGCATATTAAAGTACAGTATATTTGAAAATATGGCTGTATAACAACCTCCACATGTTTATATATTTACCCACGATATTTAACTAAATCATTCTGAGTATTTTCTCGTGAGCTCACAAATCAATTAAATCGTTTCTATAAATCAACACGAGCTAACAGTAAAAGTTCCGCTAATCGCTATTCGAAAAGCAGAAAAATGTCTGGACAGCAGATTTTTTTAGGGTGGTGCTGGACTTCTCCAGGGAGGTGATAGACACCACTAGATCTCTAGGAAAGGTGCGCACCTCCCCCCCCCCCATACCACACAATATGTAAATCAATCAGAGTCACTATCTTGATCATTTTCCGATTTATCAGAAGGCAAATGGTGTCTCCAATGAAAGTACATGTGCAGACAACATGAAATTTTAAGACTGCAGAAAATTGCACAAGCAGTTATCAAACTCATGTCACAGAAGTGGTACTAAAGGACATGTGTGACAAAATGATATCCTTTTGTAAAGTTTTTGGCCGGAGATGGGTATATATTTTTTAATTGAAATTTGAGATTGGGTAAAATGTTTTTGACTTTTTAATGGTTGGATCTGCAACATTTTTACCATAAGAAAAACATTTCTCTTCGGTGCCACCCCCGGTCATAAATAATGACCCGCACCCAAAATACCTTTCACAAGAAACTAACCTTTCAAGGCTAATAAAAGCCAAATGCCATACAGAAGCAGTGATAGAAAATACGTCCGTGAATTGATAGACAAAATATGCTGGACTATCATTATAGCCTTTGAAATCGATTGCCATCAGGTACGTATATAATGGAATCGCAACAGATCCGGCCAGGACGTCAGCGCAGGACAGACTGACGATAAGGTAATTCGTTCGGCTGTTACGAATCTTTGACGACTTGGAAAAGGCGGCGAAGACGAGACCGTTGCCAACAATTGAGGCAAACGAGATGAGAGTGTATAATGTGACGCCAATCTGGAAATCAGGTCTAGAGACACCATATCCGCCAAACATCTGAGTGCCATTGGAATTGTTAGATGCCATTGTTGCTGAAATTCAACTAAATAAGAGAAATAGAGAATGATTGTAAGGCAAGCCTCACATATCGATTTCGTCCATGAGAAACGTCATATGGACGCTGAAAAGCCCCAATGGGGAGTGAGCTGAATAATGCAGACGTTAGCCTCATCAACCTCGTTACAATATAACCTGTTTTCGGCATAGGCAAGCCTCACATATCGATTTTGTCCATGAGAAACGTCATATGGACGCTGAAAAGCCCCAATGGGGAGTGAGCTGAATAATGCAGACGTTAGCCTCATCAGCCTCGTTACAATATAACCTGTTTTCGGCATGAATACCTATAACAGTATAAGGTATACACTCGTTTTCGGCATACCTTATAGCACGATTTGTGGCTAAAACATAATGCCTGTTTTCGACATACCCGTATAGCCACCAACCGTGGCTATAAAGGATGCCTGTTTTCGGCATGTGCCTTTCGGCAAGGTATTAATTATAGCCACATTACGCATTTCTACTAAACTTATAAACCCCTAACTCGGACAAAACTCAGACTATCCCTAACCCTATTCCTTCTCCACAATTCCATCAATGCAAAACACCGGTAAGTGTTGTTATTCAAAGAAGCACTGGCCATTCACAGCCAGAAACCTATGAGGGGTGATATTACCGCCATAATTCAACATGTGTTTTAAAGGCTTAGTAGGCTTCCGCGCATGCACAAAGCCAAATGACATTTTAAAAAAACGCCAAATTCTACTAAATTAGGCCAAAGTTCATTTTTTTGAAAAAAAGCCAAAAAAAAGAGCCAAATCCGAAAAATATTTTCGACATACATTGGTCAGGTTAATATCTAGGATTCTAACTTCTAAATGCAGTATATTGATCAGGTGAAAATGATTCAAATTATACAAAATGTTGCCTACAAGCTTGCAGCATATTTTTTAATGTCTCCAATTATTTTAACATCTCCAACTTTTACATAACATGAAACGATCTGGTGTTTTATAAACATAAAAATCAGTACGTGTGTTATCATGGATAATAAAATACATGGATAGGAAACTAGCTGACGTGACCTAATGTTTTCAATGGGATGATGGCCTTGAAACCTAGTTGCAAACCGAATTCTCAAAAACGGCATGTTTAGCGATAATAGAGCTAAACATTTTAGTCAAAGAGCAAATAAATATAACTAAGCCATTCTACGATGAAATCTCTAAGTATTTCCAGTCAATTTTAGCAAATATTTCAAGCACTAAACAGTGAAAAATGCATCGCAAATTTCGTAAAAATTGGCGACGCCAATTTCGTAGCTACAAATGTTAAAAAATACAAAACAAAGACGAAAAACATTTACCTTGAATACTTTGTCGTGGCTTTGAATACTTTGTCGTGGCATGTTTTTAAAACAATTACACCAGTTTATGCTTCAATATTACTCTTTCAAAGCGGAAAATATAGCGAAACAACAAAAATGCTGAGAACTTTGGCAATACATGTGACGTCACAGATTGCAACTAGGTTTAGACTGTGACGTCAGCTAGTTTCCTATCCAGTTATTTTACAATCCATGGTGTTACACAGTTTTCACAAATGAATTATGAAACCTACTAAAAGATGCTGAAAATTCCTGTTAATTGATAAAAATAGAGCCAAAATAGAGCCAAAAGGCCAAACATTTTTTCAAGGCCAAACAAGAAATAATTACCGTATTTACTCGTTTGAGCGCCGCGGCGCTCTTTAAATTTTCAGAGCTTCAGATGCGGTGCTCATTCGGGGGCGGCGCTCTTTAAAACAATCTTTTATTTGTGAATTATAACAAGAATTTTAACAATAAAATAAACAAGTTTTAAATGTCTTTGTCACTAAATGTCCCCATTTTGCCGACGGCGGAAAGTTTAAGGGAGTTTAAGCTTCACGTTTGCGGGAACGGCAAATTGGAAAGCCGACTTTTCTTGGCATAATTTTCGTTCGATTTCTATGTGTCATATTTTCTTTCATGCGACACAGGAATAGGTAAGCATTCTATAGTTATAAAACAACAAGCCCATTTACTTTTTATTGCTTTATAGCCTAAAATTTTTCTTTGCCTGACGTTTATCATTGAACGCGAAGCTAAACTCTCTATCGTTTACAAGTTTACAAAATATCAATGTCACTGTCCTCTTCATGATCCGAGTCCAACTGCTGCATCGTAACCCTTGTTGGATATGCCTCCACGACATCAGAAGACGTAAATTCGTCGCATTGAAAGGGATTCGATTAAGCACCGCATTTGAAAATAATTAGTGCGGCGCTCATTCGGGGGCGGCGCTCTCTTGATCTCAAATGCGGCGCTCTTTGGGGGCGGCGCTCAATCGAGTAAATACGGTATCAGCTCGCGTAACATTCGGCATGACGCTCATGCAGTGGACGAATTTTGGTATTCTCACGTGGGAAATGGTAAGAGATCGTATTATGAATTGTATTTTAAACATTTTACGGCAACAAGTGGCAGGCGATACCCTCGTGAAGATAGCTGACAATAAGGCAGCTTACAAACAACAGACAATGCAATGTCAATGAAGATACTGCTGTGCTGAGTGGTTATATTACAACCTGAAATAAACAAGCAGAAATATAACCACAGGAATATATAGTAATATAACCACACTACCCACACTGGTACAGACAGTTTTAGTAGACAATGAAGATACCAAAAAATAAAATGCGTGTTTCAATAGCATAATCAATTGTGGCGGAAATCACCCTTCATAGAAACCAGAACTCAACCATGACATCAAAGCATCCCGAGAACTATTGGTTTTCTACAATAGATATTAAATTACAAACTATCTGTATATATTGGCAGGCATTATGTATTATTATATGGCATGCATCACTTCCTGTGAAATGGCGGACTGTGATTGGCTGAGAAGCACATTCAGCGGCCATTATTAGGGGGTTTGGCAAATAGAGACCTTACGATTTTAGGACGGCAACGGCTACCAATACAATACAATAGATCATTGAAAAGAATTGAGTAATTACAATATATGAATAATTTAGACATTGTCCTCGCTCTGTTTACAACGCCAAATCACAGATTTTCACGTCTTGATACAACGGCTGCATTCCAAGCCACAACAAGTGCAACTTCAAACTGGGTTTAGCAGAACTCTTCCCAACCATAAAACCCATGTCTTCAACTTCTAAAACTGTATTAAATTCATACGATTGATAATATACCACGAACTATCTTTACTACCATTTATTTGAAGGAGTTTGTTTTGGCCGTCGCGTTGCCGTCCTAAAATCGTAAGGTCTCTAAAGCCTGGTTCACATTGATCGTAAACATCGGCGATGCCCATTGTCGGTGGTCATTGATGCATAAAATGTTTTGTGCATTTTCTTCTTCGTTGCTCACAGACAATGGATCGTAGAACATCGCCGATCAATGTGAACCAGGCTTAATAGAGAGTTTGAGCAAGACAACGAAGTCGGACGACGACGACGTGGTTGACAATTTTTGTCTGTCTTGCACATTATCTTGAACATTCTGAGTTTAGGGTCAGGAGTGAAGACAGATTAGACATGCATGTCTAGCTGTTTGTGAATGCTGACCCAAATCCTTACCCTGATCAGGATAAAACAGCAAGACATGAATCCATATCCCGTCTTCGTCTTCTGCCTTCGTTCACAACGAATACTTTCGCAAATTTCGTTGTGAAACTCGTTCTGCACGAAGGCAGAAGGACAAAGACGGGATATAGTTTCATGTCTCGCTGTTTTTTTCTGGATCAGGGCAAGACTTATGGTCAGTATTCATAAACAGCGACACATGGGAAGATACGTTGTGCAACCACCAGTGACGTCCAACTCGGTATGCGCAAGATAATGGACATACAGCAAAAATTGTCAAGTATGCCTTCGTCTTCGTACTTCGTTGTCTTGCTCAAACTCTCTATTAGAGAGTTTGAGCAAGACAACGAAGTACGAAGACGAAGGCATACTTGACAATTTTTGCCGCCTGCACATTATCTTGCGCATACTGAGTTGGACGTCACTGATAGTTGCTCAACGTGTCTTCCCATGTGTCGCTGTTTATGAATACTAACCATAATTCTTGCCCTGATCCAGAAGGGAACAACGAGACATGAAACTATAACCCGTCTTTGTCCTTCTGCCTTCGTGCAGAACGAAGTTCACAACGAATTTTGCCAAAATATTCGTTGTGAACGAAGGCAGAAGATCGAAGACGGGATATGGATTCATGTCTCGCTGTTTTATCCTGATCAGGGTAAGGATTTCAGTCATCATTCACAAACAGCTAGACATGAATCTCTAATCTGTCCTCACTCCTGACCCTAAACTCAGAATGCGCAAGATAATGTGCAAGACAGGCAAAAATTGTCAACCACGTCGTCGTCGTCCTACTTCGTTCTCTTGCTCAAACTCTCTATTACAACGGCAACGGCAACGTGATCATCAACAATAGCATTGATCCTCGAAGACAAAGGCGATGTAAATTACATGGTCTTAAGCGTTGTGCAATGCCGTAGTTGTTGAAACTGGTACGTGATCCGCATCATTTCACGGCGGTGCATGACTACGGCAACCGGTTAATTCGAGTTCGATGTTATTTGAGGTGTTTTATTTGAATTCGCGGACTATTTTTAATTGAGGACTGTTTGTGAAAAACAGGAATACTTAACGAGGCAAATTAAGTGTAGGAACGTATACTTTGGCTCAAATACAACATAAGCAATTATATTTTTGCCGTTGTCGTTGCCGTTCTGGGTTACCAAACTCCCTATTTTCCCGTGATGAACCGGTGGTCCATCACGTAAAAACAAACGCATGCATTTTAAAACAAAACAGCAAAACTAATTGAAAATTTGAAAATTATAATTTAACTTGTTATTAATAAGATATCTAATAATAATAACATTTAATATCCATCTTTGGTTAAAAAAGTACAATGGATTTACAAGAAGTGCTAAGGTTAAAATTGATAAGAAGAAATTTTACTATTATTTACATCAATGTTGCTAAAAATGTTTATACTAGTTATATATTCTATAAAATTAATTTAGGACTGTTTTAAAAGGGATATAGCTCTAGGTATAAAGGATTGCCGGTGTCTTTTAGTATACGATACAACATATGGTAGATTACTTGTTGTTCTTAGATCGTGTTCATGGGTAAAAGGTTGGGGGATAAGTTTATTACATGGGTTGGTCGGATCACTTAGAATTCTTTGGTATTCCTTAACAGTTAGGTGTGCCCTTCTTTGTTCTAGCGTTTCAAAGTTGCACCGAGATGTGCCGAGGATTTTGATGCATCTGTTTTGAATGCTCTCTATTTCATCAATGAGATATTGTGGTAAACCACCCCATATCGGAGCTGCATATTCTAAAACAGGTCTAATCTTGGATTCATAACATGTAATACCGACCTCAGGAGGAAGATTCGCCCTACGGCATTCTCAGACTAAACATTCGTTTATTTGCTTTCCTTACAATGTTCTTAACATGACAGTTCCATTTCAAATTGTTTTGATGCCAGACACCCAACAGTTTATGAGAATTTACTCTTTCCACTACCTCGTTTCCAATGACCAATGGTTCTGGTACCGGTATTGCTGTGTTAAAACATATCCACATATCTTTTGTTTTCTTCGAATTTATCGTCATTTTGTTCCTATTAGACCATTCTTGTACTGCTTCAAGGGCCTCCTGCATATGGCTGGATGAACCTTGTGAGACAAACTTGATGAATGCGAGTTGTATTTTCGGCTTTGTTGCGAAGACAAAGAAAGTCATCAACTTCAAAACTCACTTCAATTCTTTCAAAATCCCTTCGTGTTTTTTACTCGTTAGAGTGGTTCACAGATCAACATCACTGAGACAAGCGCTAGCTCCAAGCAGGAGAGAGAACATCAGAAACTGCACCCGACTTAATTGGGCCACAGCCAAGCCCAATTTATGTTTTTGGGAAAATGTTGTTTACAAAATCACATGCGACCAGTGCCAAATGACAACTACATATGGAGCACCATACGAAATCTACACGACCGAGTCGGAAAACACCTGACACAAACCACCTCGTCTCTCTTTAACCACCTAAAGTTTTTTATATAATATCATAGTTAAGGGGCCATTCACAAAGGATGTCCGGCCAAATGATGGATTTTCAGACCCCCCCTCCCCCCCTTGTCCGGCATTGTCCGAATTAGTGACCCCACCCCCTTCCCCCCGGACATCCGCCATGCCTCGCAAAAACTCACGCAACCTTGTATATATCAAGAGTAAAAAACTTTTTTTACTTTTAGAACTTTTTTATAACTGTAAATGTGAACACAAAAACATATAAATTACTAATTAAAACAAAATCTAG